TGGAGGGCTCTTGTGAACACGGTAATGAACCTTCGGGTTCCATAAAATGCTGAGAAATTCTTGAGTAGCTGCAGAATTGGCGGCTCCTCCAGAAGGGCCCAGCTCCATGAGTGATTGAGCGAACAGAAATTTGAAAACTGTGACATAGATTTATTCTTATTAAAGTTTCCATATAGGCCTATATTTTAATCCTCGAATTCAAATTTTCCGGGTAATTGGATGGAATGAAAGAAAAGAAGAATGAAGAAAAGTAAAATGTAATTAAAAATGGAAGAAACATTGTCAATACAAGGCAGCTGTGGAACTACAGGGTACTTCGAAAGCAGGTCACAACTTCTCTGTCTGTATAATTCACTCATTCTGGCAGAAGGAATTTCTCTCTTATTTCCGCTAAGGAAGTAGCTTGTGAGGATGAGAGGTTAGTAAAATTGGCTTTTGATTGTGTACAGTGGTGGCGCTTAGTGTAAGCGACCTTGAACCTTCATGTCCCTTTACCAGAGAATTAATTAACAGGTTATTTAGAAAATTGCTCACACAATTAATTCTATAATCATAAAAAGATTAATGAATTTTTTTTTCTAACCACAGAATTTCCATTGTAATCGGGTACATTTTTCTGCTACCAAGATCGTATTATATCGGCCTCTTGGTAGCCTTCCGCTGGGTTTAATGTAGAAACACGTGCATGAGAGGTGTGAGGTAAATATATCGTGCATACTGTCCGAAAAACCTCAGCAGTATTTCTCCCCGAGATGGGCTCCTACACACACAGTTAAATAAATGTGCAGAACTGGGGCAATACACCACGCGCTACACATTGTCAGTTTAGGGCACAAAATAAAAACAAGGAAGTACTGACCAACAGAAAGAGTATACAGTTCTTCACAATTGCATGCTTCTCCTTCAGTTGTGTAATATAACTCACAAGACGTTACCATACTCTGGACGTCAAGTTAATTACTTACAGTTAATAAATCTAAATACAAATTACTCTATATCGATAACAACTGCGCAGTTCTGGGCGGCAGGCAGTAACTTAGTTGGTTGAGATACTATGCAACAAGCCGGAATGTCGCAGGTTCAATTCCCTTTTATGTCACTGGATTTTTCAATTGACTTAACACTTCCAGCCTCGATATGGTCCTGGAGTCGACTCAGCCTCTAACAGAAATAAGTACCAATAATCTTCGTGGGGTTGAAGGGCGGCAGGCGCTTAAGGCTGACAACCTCACTGCCATTTGTGAACCGTTTATCTAGAAAATGTGGGAGCCTCAACGTCTTACAACCCTTTTGGTGTTCACGGCGTTACAAGGATATCGTTTTTTAACGTTCGAGAATGTTCCTTTAAAAATCTGAGGAAATTCATGAAAAACCTGTCATGATAATCTGCCTCTAGGCCTATAATCAAATCTGTTACCACTAAACTCTATCTAGTTCCGTGGTCAAGAATGGTGAATTTATAACTGCACTCAACATACGTCTTACTGACATAGTGCCTAATTCAGCACAGGGGTAACTTTACGTTTATCTTCACCTCAGAAAGCTGGAGTGTAATCACTCACCGGCGGCACTCAGAGATATTTTAAGTTCTCCAGATATAGAAAGACATCAACACTTCAACCCAGTAGTACACGTACTTGAATTGATATACAGTGTACCAGTACGTTAAAAAAATTCACATTTGCGTCACGTGCGTATAACGTAGCATCATTATAAAACGGACACTACTGGTGCAACGTTCGAGGTTTTGCAGCCCCTGACAACAGCATAGCTACAGGAGATCATGAAGTGCCATTGTTCGTTTCCGGGCAAGGTCGCCCCCCCTCCCCCCCATTACATTCGTCGGTGTTTATCTCACTCTATTGCAAACTGCCCTTTGGAAGTTACCCACGTAATGAAGTTGGACATGTGAATGCATGTTAAGGGACTAATATTTCTTGGCCGTAAATTTGCGGTCGTTAAGTAACATAAATCGTGATTAACCCGCTTAGCCACGGCTCATTCAATATCACTTGAAGTTGTGACAATTCTGACATCTCTGTTCTAAGCGCTACTTCTCTTATAAGGAACTCAATTACAGTACGTTGTGATGTGGCAATTGCCGTCACCATATTCTCTGCTTTCCCAATGCTGTGTGTTTACTAGACTTATTTCTAATTTACTCCTGTTAATTTTAAACATGACGCATTCGATCGTGTCCAGCTTTCTCGATACCCATGTAAAAGTAAGTAAGTGAAGCTATCCCTGTAACAGGCCGTGAAGGCCCATAGGATTCTGAGACGTTGAGTGTTCCACATTATCTAGACAATCGGCTCAAAGATGGCGGTAAGGTTGTCAGCCTTACGCGCCGGCCGAGCTTTACTCCCCAGGAAAATGATTTAATTTCCTCGTACTCATTTCTGTTAAGAGGCTGAGTCGATCCCAGGGCCACAGTGCGCTTGGCAAAATTCATTCCACTTTTCTCGTTTTTGTTTATACCGTAATGCAAAGTGTCCAGTCTTGTTACCTAACTCATTATATCTACCTTCATAGTGTACTGTCTCTCTATCTATTTATGGCTCTACAGCCCTTTTGTTGGACCTTGGCGGCTTTCTCAATTTCTTAATCTGTACACAGTCAGTAGGACTCCTTGGACGGGGGAGGGATTGGCCCGTCGCGAAGCCGCTACCTACACACAGAACATCACAAACACAGAATAAACGCACACAATACAGACATCCATGCCATGAGTGGGATTCGAACCCACGATCCAAGCGATCGAGCGAGCGAAGGCAGTTCATGCATTAGGCCGAGCGGCCACTTTTAGCAGCACCATAGTGCGCTGAAACAGGAAGTAAATATCAATTCTGTTGCACTTTTCAAACATTACATATGTTACGATCTTACAATTGAAAGCATTAAAGATATGATTCAAGATAATTTTGTGTGGATATCAATCGACGAAAAATAAAATTGTGAGGGACGGTTTATTGGAAATTGTATAGTTATATCCCTTAATAAGAATGAACAATCTACCCCATATCTTCTTGCGGTAGAGCAATTTGAAACCACAAATAGCTCCGCAGTTTCCGAAATTTTATCAGTTCCATGAATTTACTATGGCCGAATGGCATTCAGTATGAGTGTGTATTGCTCTTTGTGACTGATGTCGCAAGTTATATGATGAAAGCCGGTACTGCTCTTAAAGTTATATTTCCAAATATGACACATTTGACTTGCCTTGCCCATGGGTTGCACCGTGTTGCAGAAACAATTCGTGTAAATTTTCCGCTTGTTGACAATTTGGTGACTTCTGTGAATAAGGTATTTGTTAAAGTACCATATAGAAAATAAGCCTTTAAAGCAGTAGCACCGAGCGTTCCACTTCCGCCAGAACTAATTTTAACGCGCTGGGGCACGTGGCTGTGTGCAGCGAGTTA